GCGATTCACAGTGTACCCCTGGTTCACTGTCGACCATCCTACCCTATTGTTACGAAATAGAGCGGGATTTTTTGTTAATTATTTGCACTGGCACGATTAGTACTTACCTGTGTAGCACCTATGTGCACTATATACCTACTTGCGGAATACGAATGCGAAACAACCCCATGATATTTAAAGCTTGGTGTCTTACGCAATGTAGATGCATGAAATACGTACACCTGTAAAATGTTAGTGGCGTGGCTACCTAAGTCATGTCATCAGTTCTTGTTGCACTGATTAAAATTTTTGGTCTTACTGACTGTAGCCAAAAATCACGTCGCGCGTCCCCCGCGGAATGCTCGCGCATTTGCGAGAATTACGCTGCTGCCGTCGGCGACCCCTGGCGATTCCGCGGAAAACGGTGCGTAGATAGGCGCATTGTGACGCCAAACGTCAACGAAATACTACAACCTCAAGGCGCGGTAGCTGGAATACTCGAGCCATCAAGTATATAACCAGAAATAGAGACGAAATGTCATTTAATTTGTTCGAAAACTATTCTGCCATATCATTACTGTGACAACTACGCTCCGATTGGCTAGCCCGAGTTCGAACAATTGACGGGTGTCTATATTTACTGAAATAAACAAACAGGAGTTGATATTTATAAGAGGTGTGCTAACGTGTTACCAGGAATATATGGCCCTTATTTCGTCTCTATTTCTGGTTATATATACTCGATGACTCGAGCATTGTAGCGACCGCGCGCGCCTTCTAGCGTAGCAAGGCGAAATTGACGCTTTCATTCCATTCCGTTCCACCGCTATGTAAATTGAGCCTAAGGAGTCGCAGTGGTACCTACACATAAGTGAAGGCCTTAATTTTCATGAAGCAAAGGAAATATTGTTTCATTTATAACCTCGAGCGCTCAGCTAGACTACCCTAGTATGTCTGGCACTTAAAGGCAGGCAACGTCGACGTAGACCAGCAGCTTGATTTTGATTTCATCTCCCGATCATAAACTGCGTCTTTTCCGATTTAAATTTTTTAATTCAAATCTGATTCAGGGCCCAGTTTGATTTTCCCTTGTTCGATTTAGTAGTAATTGTGGATTCGACGGTTTCGTGATTTTCCTATTCCGTGGCTCATCTGCCGATGCCCCCTAAAACATTTTAAAACTATACAATTATTTTTTTAAAAAAAGCTCTTTTGCTGTTGATTCTAGGTCATTAGGTCAATGTTCTAGGTTGATTATATTTGACGAATATACTTTTCCTATAGTTTTCGTACCTGCTTAAATAAAAAACTGCTTTCTTTATGTTAATCCACCGAATGGCGAGACCAGCTATGGTCTTAAGTAGAATTAACTATGTAAAACAATGACTGGTAATCTAAATAATTAAGGGTAAAACCGTCCAAGCAAGCTTTGTACTCGTATTAGAGGACCTTTTACTATACAAATTGGATGTGTTGCAAATCCGTACAGAACTTGCGTTCAGGGACGTAAGTCCTCGCTCTTTCTTCCTTATACGTATTATGTTGGCTTCCCAGGGCACGGTGGAGTCACGGGCCGCGCCGCGCGAATATGCGCCAAACGCACAGTGGGAACAGTTCCGCCCGGTGCCGGCGCGGCCCGTGATATCCCAGGACGTGGGAAGCCGCCTTTACATACTGTGTTAAATTGAATCGTGGTGCTGTTTTTGTATTTAACATTTTCTAAATTTTATAATGTTTGGTACTAAGCTCTGTTTAAATAATAAAAAAAAATATTAATAACCAGTTTTTTATTGTTGTTTGGTGGACGGGTTTAAAACTTACTTTTTAACTTCAAGTCGTACAAGAGCATGTTGACCACCACAGGACTCTGAAGCAGATTTTAATAACGTGCTACAGATAAAGCGTGAAACACAGGCGGTGCAGTCGGTACGACTTTATAGAAATATCTAAGGTCTAATTAACACTTATGGTCGTGTTATTTTACAGTGTTTTAAATTCGTTATTTTCAAAATTACAAGAGCTCATAATTTTTTATTCAAAAAGAGACTGTGACATCCTGTTTTGCACACCAAATTTCATGAGAATAGATGTAAGAACCAGCCCGAGTAAAAATGCTGTGACGTACATACGAACAAACTGACTGATAGACACGGAAGGGTTCTGACTACGTCATTCGAAAATTAAATGTATTTCATAATTACTTTAATTAAAGAAATTGCAATCAGTGGATATACATTCACATCACGCCATTGATTTTACATGTGTATAAGATCATTAGATCACGCTAAAATCAAACTTCAGTTATATTTAAAACTGTTAAAATATATTTTCGCTGAATCTGGATATTCTAGAATTTAATAAATAAGCAATATTCTAAGATTTTTACATAAAAACTTCACGCTTATAAATACAAACATACACTTATTACACAAAGTTGATTACGTTTAATCCCACTAGTTCTGTTGACAGAACAGCTGGTACTTTTTCCCATTTGTTCTGTTGATCAATAGACAGTTTTCTTCACCGAATGATTAGAATGATGTCTGAGGTAAGTAGGAGACTACTAGGGCATTGTTCCCTCACATGCCTCACAAGGCTCTAATCGATCCGTAACTAAAGACAACAATTTGTCAAAACTACTTTTAAAAACTAGCATACACATATAATATTGCATGCAAACTTAATATTTATCTAAATCTGACTGGCCCTATGTGAGAAGTCAATGAGTACATATTAAGGGTCGTATTCTAAAACTCTACTCAATGCTCAAGTCATGACTTGAGCAGACTTGAGTATAAATTCAAGCACTGGAAATACGACCCTAATGGCAAAGACTTGAGTATGATTTTCAGTGCTCACTACAATACTCAAGTCCTGACTTGGGTATTGAGTAGAGTTCTGGAATACGACCCTGAGTTATTATTCTTTTATTTTATCTTTTTACAAAGTTTGGTTTCCACAATAATTTTAGAACTTCTACTAAATGACTAAGATATTTTAAACTTTTTAAAGAGGGTGCTCACTCAATTCACACACACACACATACAAAAGTAACTGATCTAGACAAGTATTCAGTGTTTGTTGCGTGAGAATTACGATCTTAGATAAGTAGGAGACCACTGGGGCACTGTACCCTCACAAGCTTCACAAAGGTACCAGAATCACTTGTCACTCCGTGCACTATCATCAACGTTCACCGCAGCTTTGTGCAATTCATACAATTGGACTATTTGTTCATCTGTCATGTAATCCAGCATTTTAGGGTCTATGTATTTCCCCACTTCTTTCTTTATCGCTTGATTTAGGGGCTTCATTTGTTTGGCTAAGTTGATTGCATAGTCCTGATAAAAAAATACAATCACATTTAAAATGTTGAAGCCAGTAATAGGTAATTCTTTAATTTTCAATTTAGAAGTTTAATTTTACTTTTTTTTTAAGGTAGTAGGGGAATTATTAAATGAAGCCAAGTAACTTGAAAATGTACAGATTTAAAACTTAAAGTGAAATGTATTCAAAAATCCAAAAAAAGAACTATAAAGTAATTAGCAAACTTTTCTGTGCTTATTAGTTTACCTATCAATAATTATATGACCACACAAGGTACCTAGTGGATAATAATGGAGAAGGCAACATGTTCAGCTCAGGAATATTTAACAGAGAAAACACTTACGGTCCATTCAGTAAGAAATATCTTTGCCTCTTCTGGATTGCACTTTTTGTGCCTTTTGAACTCATCTCTTGCATAGTTGTCTCCGAGGATCCTCAGTTCTGCAGGTAATGCACGATGTACACGGAATATTAATTTATAGAGCATGCGAACCCTAGAAGCATGATCCGCGGCAAACATTCTGAAAAAAAAATGTATAGGCCTTTGTTTATAGAGTTGAGGTTATTTATATAATTAAGTCTATTCATCAATTAGATTCGATTTCCATTTCACTGAGGGCTTATTGGTTTCCTTTTAAAATCCTTACTTAACCATGTAGGGTGAGATTTAAACGTTAAAACATTTCCATTTTGAAAAAAATCATATTTTCCAGAAAAATAAATATTTGTCAGGATATATTTCCAATATTTTTCCTGTATTTTTCCAAATATGACGTTGACACCAGTCAAAAGTTGAAGTCACAGAGTACATTGAACATTAAAGTTAAGTTACTGAACGAAAACGACGGAGCTAATTTACAGGTTTTTTTCGCTGCTGTCCAATCGTTTTAAATCTTGTTTTTCTATAGCTTACTTTTACAACTTTACTATAATTTTATTTTGTTATCCACGCTGCATAAAACTTCAAAAGATAGTTATAATTTATGAGTTTCCGAAATTAAACTTTTATATTTTCCAATTTTTCGGGAACTTTTTCGAATTTCCACCGTATGATTTTTTTTGGAAAATTACCCAAGAAATTCAGTAAGGATCGTATTCCAGAACTCTACTCAATGCTGAAGTCAGGACTTGAGTATGATTTAAAGCATTGAAAATCATACTCAAGTCCTTGCCATTAGGGTCATATTTCCAGTGCTTGAAAACATACTCAAGTCTGCTCACGTTGTGACTTGATTATGATTCAAAGCATTAGAAATCGTATTTCCAGTGCTTGAAATCATACTCAAATGCTGACTTGAGTAATGAGTAGAGTTCTAGAATACGACCCTTAATTCCACACCACAGAGTATATTATGTTCCACATTTAACTTTGGTGGCTTCACTCTTTCGGCGCGCTTCATCTGCCTACTGTTTTTTACTCTGAGCTAATTACGAAACATTTCTTTTTTCTCCCTCTCATGTATATACTAAACTGTAAGTTTTGTTTTAGTTTATTATAGTTTGTATATGTGGAGACTAAAGAAAGTATAGCGGACATTTTTACAAAAGCTTTATACATAGTGAAATTTAATTATTTTAAATTATGTTGTGTGATCATTGCATGAGTTCTAACGAAATATCAAATTGTTTATTCATTTTTCAAATGTCACACGTCAGCTATGTTAATTTGGGTTGGGTTGTGTATGTAGGATGGGTATGTAGGCACTTAAGTTTTATTTGTAACAATTTAAAGTTATTAGCATGTATTAGAGTTTGTATATGTAATTATCTACAACTAAACTAGTGTCATGTTGACTTTACGGTTTCGTCACTAGCGTATTTGTGTTCAGAGAAAGATATATACTTTATAAGATACATTTTCAGTCACATAGTGCATCATTTTCTTCCCACAAACTTATAGGACTACCAACATAGTTTATTATTTTTGAAAATCTGATATACAATAGATTCATCAATACAATAATAGGTATCGCAAGCGTTGTACAGTCGAATTTAAATCCTATTAATTAGAAAGCCTGACGCGCTCTTCACTTTGTCGCGTTTTTCACGATGGGCGAATCGAGTTGTTTAACTCGATGAACTTGAGTTACGATGAACGGTACTCGTTCTCACTCGGTCAGTTCGACGACCTTCGGAGCACGCTCGAGTCGCGGCCCGCCGCCGCCCGCCGGCCGATCATAGCCAACTCGGTGAATCCTCAGTTCGAGTTTTATTTGCGTCTCGCAAGAGCTACTCGCGACAACTGTTTCAAATAGTGGAAAATTTTCCGGAAAAGTTCCTGAAAAATTGGAAAAATATAATTTTGAAGGCTCATATTATGTTCTACGCTTAGAAATATCTTTGGAAGTTTTATTAAGCATGAATTATAAAATAAATTTATATAGCTAAAAGCCACAATATAGAAAACGAGATTTACAACAGCGAAAAACCTCCAACAACCACACCATCACCATCGCTTGTTGGCTCCATCATTTTTGTTCAGTAACTTCAACTTTTGACAGGTGTCAACGCCAAATATGGAAAAATAAAGGACAAATATTGGAAAAATATTTATTTTTCTGAAATATATGATTTTTCAAAACTAAAATATTCCATGACTCAACACTAGTTGCGAGTCATTGTTGCTCTATCAGACACCGTATCGAGTCGACTCGAGTAACTCGAGTTGAAAAAAATACAACTCGTCTCATCGCTATTTTGTGTAGACCAAAATCAACGAACGATATCTTATCAAAGAGTATTTTTTATACATTTGTGTTCCTTTATTTTTTTTTCCATCCTCTAAGGTAAAAGGTAATGGCACAGCAGCGGCCTGCAATGTATGGCATGGCGCGCAGTGAAATAAAATAAATATATTTTTGATGATTATAGTATACATAGTCGGTGTTTTGAAGAAAGGGCGAAAGCGCCATTTCATGGAGCATGTTTTCGTGTTTCAAATGTTTACGTCCTTTTTGAAATTCAATTTTAAAACTCACTCGTAGTTAAAACCAAAATTATACACCCAAATAATGTTTAAGGTAAAATAATATTTTAAAACAGGCGTCAAAACCCGCAATACCCTTAAAATTTTTCGAAACAAAAAATGTCTTCATCTCGTTTGTCGTTCTCAATTTTTACGTTGTTAAATTACTGTGCAAATCAGCTGTGACCTTGCAGCCATGTTTAGCACTGTGTTAATCTTTTCAGTCATTGGTCGCCGGCACTCGCGATGACATAAAAATGTGACGTCACGGTGCTCCCCATGTTCGCTATGTTAAACCTGCTTGGTTTCAATGGGAACATCCTGGCCGCTGTATGGTAGATGCGACAGTTATTCAAATAACTGTCAAAGTATTATTTGTCTGTGCCAGTCTGTGCTTCCAAAATTATAATAGGTTATGGGTTAACTTTTTTTTTGGTTGCAAAAAAAAGTGCTATGGAAAATAAAAATACTCCATCGGTAAGCCTACCGGCACTACAATCGTCAGCCACCATTAGCAAGCTGACCGGGAAAAATTTCAACACCTGGGTTTTCAGTATAGAGTGTCTCCTTACTGACCTAGACCTATGGGACGTTGTAATAGCAGATGTCGACCTAGCTGACCCTCTCGCCAAGCGAAAGGATGCCAAAGCACGGGCGAAGATTTGCTTATCCTGTGACGAATCCGTCTATCCCGTAATAAGGTCAGCTAAAACTGCTAAACAAACCTTTGACTCCCTTAAAAAGGCGTATGCTGACAGTGGCTTGTCACGCAGACTAGGGCTAATGAAAAAGCTCTTAGCCAACGAATTTAGAGGAAACATGCAAGAGTACGTGAACATAGCGTTAGCAATACAGCAAGAGCTACAGAGCATAAACGCCGCAATGGACGACGAGTTTCTTGCCATAATTATGCTCACTGGCCTTCCGGAGCGTTACCAGCCACTAGTCATGGCGCTTGAACACTCCAACACGAAGATCACATCAGAAAATGTTGTTGCTGCTCTCCTAAAAGAGGACTCGACAACCCTAGTTGTACGCGCCTCTACAAGTACTAATGTACATAAACCAAATGAGCCTACTGCTCTACATGTTAAGAAAAACGTACAAAAGAAAAGACTGTTTTGTTCGTATTGTAAAAAGTTAGGGCATGTTGTGAGTGAATGTAGAATAAAAAACAAGAAAGTTTCGGCAACGTGTATTTCAAATTATACATCACATATTACACTTTCATCTTGTTTCACTAACGCTCCTTCCACAGGTTCACAAGATTGGTTCATAGACTCGGGTGCGAGTTCTCACATGAGCAATAGGAAAGATTGGTTTGAGTCAATATCGTCTCATGTTACTTCTATTACAGTTGCCAACAAGGAGAAGCTTCTCAGCCATGGCAAAGGTACGGTAAATATACATATTTCCGACGACGTACATAAAATTAGTGACGTCTTATACGTTCCTGGCTTAGCTACAAATCTTTTGTCCGTAAGGACTTTAGTTAAAAAGGGTTACGATGTATTATTTACAACTAACGGCGCAAAAATACTTAAAAGTGATGACTGTCACATGACAAATACTGTCATCGCCACAGCCTCAAACCACAAAGGCATGTACAAGCTTGACGTACAAAATAGTTCGCATGCTACGTACACACATGCCAAGGAGCCTGCATTGCTCTGGCATAGGCGTCTCGGTCATCCGAATGCAAAAAGTTTGCGTATTTTGAAAAATAAAAATATCGGCGTAGATTTTAGTGGGAATTACAATGATAAGTGTATTCCTTGCATACAAGGCAAACTAGCAAAGAAACCTTTCCCAAACTCAAAAAGTAGATCGAGTAAAGTCCTACAATTAATTCACTCGGACTTATGCGGACCGATGAGTACGCACTCGTGGGGCGGAGCCCTTTATCTATTAACTTTTACAGACGACTTTAGTCGCAAAACGTTTGGATATCTTTTAAAATCTAAAGCCGAAGTTTTTACAAAATTTATAGAGTTTAAGCATTTTATGGAGAATCAAACTGGAGAACGAATAAAAGTTCTGCGCTCAGATAATGGTCGCGAATATGTCAACAAGGACATGTCTACGTTTCTTAAGGAGAACGGTATCGTGCATCAAACCACAATACCGTACACTCCACAACAGAATGGAGTATCCGAACGCGCAAATCGAACCATTATCGAAAAAGCCAGAACAATGCTCCAAGACGCGAAGCTACCATTAGCTTACTGGGGTGAAGCGGTAAATACGGCTATATACCTAAAGAACCGTATGCCTTCTCAGTCCTTGAAGAACAAGATTCCAGAAGAACTATGGACCGGCAACAAAGTCAATCTTTCTCATCTGAAGGTCTTTGGCTGCCAGGCCCACGTTCTTTTGCCAAAAGAAAAAAGAAGTAAACTTGAACCAAAAACACAATCATGTGTGTTCACAGGTTACTCAACTGAGACCAAAGGCTACCGACTCCTAGATCCCCACAATCCGCGCACAATAATATTCGCTAGAGATGTTGTCTTCCTAGAGGACAAAACCTTTGAAACTGTTCCTCACACTTGTGTTGAATCCCATTCATGTCCACAGACACCTTTAATACAGTTTCATGTTCCACTCGATGATGAACCAGGCCCGTCACCACAGCCACAGCTTCAACCACAACCTGTGACCCCGGAGCCGTCACCTTTATTAGAAGGACCTGTAACATCCTCACAAGATGTTCCCGACCCTGAACTCATCGTAGAGCCCTCACCTGAACCTGAAAGAAGGTATCCAACCCGAATCAGGAATCTCCCCGAAAAATATGGAGAACAAAAGCTTTACATGACTTCAGATCTCGAACCGGAGACTTACACTGAAGTTACAGGTCATCCTCAAGAGGAAAAGTGGGTAGAAGCAATGCAGGCTGAACATGACTCGTTATTAAAACACGGGACATGGATTCTTGTCGATAGACCAGTGAACAGGAAAACTACGAAATGTAAATGGGTGTTCAAAATCAAAAAGGACACAAGTGGACAAGTCACCAAATACAAAGCCAGATTAGTTGCCAAAGGTTTCACCCAAGTAGCTGGAGTGGACTATGGCGAAACTTTTTCTCCGGTCGCTAGACTGTCGTCAGTCCGAGTTCTACTGGCATTTGCTGCTAAACATCAGCTGCAAGTAGAACATCTCGACGTCGAAACCGCGTTCCTGAATGGTGACCTAAATGAGGAAATTTACATGGAACAACCAGAAGGCTTCTCTACCGACCCAAAGGGCAAAGTATGCCTACTTAAAAAGGCTTTATACGGTCTTAAACAAGCTCCACGACAATGGAACATCAAAGTGTGCGAAGCTATGCACAAACTCAGCTTAAACCAAGCAACAAATGAGCACTGTATTTACTACAGACGAGATGGTAATGATATTCTCGTAGTTGCTGTGTTTGTTGACGACTTCTTCATTGTCTGTACAAATGACATCATGAAGAATGTTTTTAAAAATAAGCTCAAGGAGCAATTTATAGTTAAGGATCTTGGTATCCTCAAGGACTGCCTGGGGATGAGAGTTACACAAACTACCGAAGAAATAACTCTCGACCAAACCAAATACATTGAAAAATTAATTCATAAGTTCGGCATGACAGATGCAATTTCGGTGACAACACCTTTGGAACCTGGCATCAAACTAACGCTGCCTACAAAGGAAGAAGAAGAAGAAGTCCCGTACCAGGAACTTATCGGCTCACTAATGTACATTGCCATTTGTAAGGCCGCTAAGCGTGTTCTTCGATACCTTAAAGGCACCAAGGATCACCGACTACATTTTAAACCATCAGGTCAGTTCCAACCCGTGTGTTATGTTGATGCCGACTATGGAAACAATTTTGTGGACCGACGTTCATACACCGGTTTTGTATTTTTATTGAACGGTACCCCTATATCATGGGAAGCTCGCAAGCAGCGTGCAGTAGCGCTTTCCACGACAGAAGCCGAGTACATGGCTCTGGCGGAGGCTTGCAAGGAGGCTATTTACCTCAAATCGTTCATAACCGAAGTATTCGCCGTCACTCCACAACCCATCATCATACACACTGACAATCAAAGTTCTATCAAATTAGCACACAATAACACTTATCATGCACGCACCAAACATATTGACATTAAACACCACTTCACCCGCGACTCACTTATATTACATAATCTTCACCTGAAATACATACCCACACAAGACATGATTGCGGACATTTTTACAAAACCGTTGCCGAAACTAAAGCACACCAAATGTGCACACTTATTAAGTTTAGGTTAAGGTTTTATTGTATGTATATAGGGTGTGTAAGTTAGTCATAGGCAGGTGTATATACAGGTTGATATTTTTATATTCAATGTTTATTGGTGTGCAGTGTTTTATATGTATAATTTAAGTGTGTGTTCACTTTGTTATTGTCAACAGGATGTTCACATTGCGGGGGGGTGTTAAACCTGCTTGGTTTCAATGGGAACATCCTGGCCGCTGTATGGTAGATGCGACAGTTATTCAAATAACTGTCAAAGTATTATTTGTCTGTGCCAGTCTGTGCTTCCAAAATTATAATACGCTATTGTGATAAAATTTTAAAATGCCGGTTTGTCATTCGTATTTGAAAGCTAAATGTGCAATTAATAGCTTTATCGAGGCGGGATACTACGTGAGCTGAGATCTGTCTCTTAGGCTCCGCAGTCCCCACCTCAAACTTAATGCTATTTAAATTCACACCAATTCTCACAGAGATGTAATGTAAAGGTGTTGTTTGTTCCATATTTTATTATTCCACATCTACGTTTTTACTCCAATTTAATTTTCAGGATCAATGTAATTTAAATTAAGTAAGTAATTAATTTGCACCTCACATTTGAGATGAAATTATAAACAATTTAACAGTTAAAATTAACAATCCTTTCATACAACTGTCTAACACATGAGATTATATTTTTCGTTTAGGTACCTATATAACGAGCCCTATACCCCACCTATGGTGGGGTCGGGCTCGGACTGCGGTGCGTGTTCGGTTTCATATCACGGGGTGTGCTTATGCTCTTCGGTGGCACAATGATTAGTACTATGGGCGCTTGATAAAGAGGTTCCAGATTCGATCCCTGATTTGAGCCAATTTATGAAAAAAATATATTTAAGTTGGTTCTGATCAGGGTATTCTGGGCATTGCCCTCAGTATTATCGTTACTCTGGTACTCATAGTACAACAAATTTGCACCTAAAGTAGGGACTTTGAGACCAGAAATTTGGGTGGAGCTGTCTGGCATTTTTTCCCAAAATACTTTTCGACGCTTCGGGCTTCGATCTCCTCAGCATCTCGGCCTACGGTCGTAAAAAGTAAAGTTTGACTGCAAATTATTATTCCGTCGTCGTACTCCGTCGTATTGTACCTATATTAAATAATAATGTAATATATTATAAATAACGAAAATAAATTGTTATTATTTAATATAAATCATGCCGTACTGTAAGAAAAAATAAAAATAAAATGCACATAAATTATAAAACCAACAAAAATAACTAAATACCTAACTAGATAAGATAAGATAAGATAAATTTATTTCAATATTACTTAATCTAATACAATTATAATGAAAACAATGTAATTGAAGATAAAATATTAAAATAAACAGTAATAAACAAAACAAAAAAAATCTAAATTATATAAAATAATTATGGTAAAATTAAACATTTTAATCTTAGTGCCTAATAGTGCAATTGCGATGCCTAAACTAAGTACATGTGTACCTGTATTTTAGGCATAATAGTGCATTTTTCATAACAAAGCTTAAAAAAAATAAAGATTTTATAAATTTAACAAATAAAAGATAAGTAGTTAAAGTTTAACACCCATAGACTCCCACATGCATTCAATCGAATTAGAGCAAATTTTCATCTGCTGCCAAAAAACACTTCTATGGCAGCCATATTGAAAAAAGGCGAAAAACTAATTTTGATCACAAGTTATTATCAAGCACTCCTAGAGACCCCCATACGCCAATTTTCAAAGGGATGTGAGCAATATTTTTTCTGCCGCCTACGAACGCTTCTATAACGGCGAAAAAAAAATTTTGAGCATAAATTATTATCCGTATTTCTAGTGGCCTTCACATGCCAATTTTCAGTCGAATCAGAGCAAATCTCTTTCGGCAGCTATCTATATTATGGCAGGCATATTATATTAAAAAATGGCGAAAAGAAATTTTTGACCCCAAATTATGATTAAGAACTCCTAAAGACCCTGACATGCCAATTTTCAGCCGGATCGAAGCAAGTTTCTCTTCGGCCTCCATTTTGAAATCGCAATCTTGAATATTTTTTTAACCCAGGCAGTTGCCCAGTGTTACCCCCTATGACATTCCTTCGAGCACCTTTTACGTATCTCTAATAGTTTCTGTGATAGAAGGCTTTGAAATTTTTATGGCGGCCATCTTGTTTATTTGAATTTCGAACATTTTTTACTTCCCGCGGAAATTTACCAGGGTGTATCTCATAAAAATGCACAAAAATCCCCCCCATGTATTATAGTTTTTGCAGGCCGTTTTCCACATTCAGGTCTTGTCATATTTGATTCTTTTCCTTGGAGCCTATCCGCGTACAATGATATAAATATCTTTTTTCCACCATATCGGGAAGTATGTGTTCTATTCTTCTAAGTGATTCTAAACTTGTAGCTTTACATATCCAAATAGCGAAAAAAAAGTTTTGACCCCAAATTATGATTAAGGACTCCTAAAGACTTAAAGGCCGCCGTTTTGGATTCTCCATCTTGAATTTTTTTTACACTAGCAGTTGACCACTATTAGCCTCTATTACATTCCTTCCAGCAACTATAGTGATAGGTCTTCGAAATTTGTATGGCGGCCATCTTGTTTATTTGAATTTCGAACATTTTTTATTGTCTACAGAAATTCACCAAGGTGCATCTCATAAAAGTGCACAATAACCCCTCCATGTATTAAAGTTTTTGCAGACCGTTGATCACTCGTTTACATTTTCCACATTCATGTGTTCTCATATTTGATTCCTTGCCTTGGAGCCTATCCGCGTACAACGGTATAAATATTTTTTTTCCACCATATCGGGAAGTATGTGTTTTATTTTTCTAAGTGAGTCAGGATTACACGTAATTTCGTATTACATTATAACACGAAAACTGTAAGTGTCAATATTCTAACTGTATCAAATAAATATATATTAACAATAAAAACATAAATACCCATCGGGTGGAATCAATGGGAATATTTCCGGGTATTTTCCCATCTTGGGTATTTACCCGGGTAGAATCCCATCAAGAAATATGTTAAACATAGACTTTTTTATGTCATGACTTTTTTGAAGTCACGATATTTTAGATGAGTCACGTGACCAGGTTGCCATAGACAATCCATCTTTTTTACTTCCACGCCCGGCGGCGGCCTATGCCCCTCGATATAAAAGTATTTATTTTATAAATTTAATGTCAATATCGGAAAAATGGACACACGAAAGCTGACCGAAATTCTAGGCGCTACAATCGATCCTGAGCAGAGGCAGCAGGCGGAGGAACAACTGTCGCAGGTGAGGGATTCCATCATGTCCATCCACATGCTCGAGAATTTGGCAATGCGACCAAATAGCAAAGTCATTTTGGTTAATCGAGATTGCATTGAGCGTGGGGCTCCATAATCTTTCAGTGTATTAACATGCCGCGCTGGTATGGTTTCGCACAGCATTGTTTTCGCATAAGGTGCTGAATTATTTGTTTTTACTAAACTATAATACTGAACGTTGCTCCATATTCTATTTATAACCTCTGTTGGGTCAAATTTACCAATAGTAGGAGGATGGCACTGGAGAATGTCTTACCACGTTTGCTAGTTACCTTAGTCCAATACAATTCATACGATTAATGGTTTAAAATAATTATTACCAAAAGAATACAATTTCACTTAGCAAGAAATACAAGGTATTATAAAATTTCTACAGAGAGTACGTGTTATCAAACAAAATATACAAATGATATGTATCAAATATTCAAATGAATTTTGGTGTTCTAGTCCTTTCGGACCCAACTATACACATTTGATTGATTTACGAATAGTTTTTCAATTCAAACTATCTATCTGAACGGGGCCTCCTCAAACGATTGCGCGTTAAACGAACTTTTACCTTGCATATAAGATTCGTTTCGTGCATCGACTTGAGCACCGATATGTCAGTTCGGACGGATTTTCGCAGACCACCCACATTTTTGGATTGTAAGTATTTGCTTTATCGTTTTTTGTTTGGAATACTGTTTTTTTTTATACCGACCGTATGAATACATTCATGATTTAATGTGACTAAGTCTAAAACATCTTTCTAAAGAATATGTAGCTTGCATAAAATTACGATTTTTTTTCAAGACTTTGAGCTTACTTTTTTCATACTTTTATCTGTTTTTTTTTTTCAGGATATTTCAGTGTGATATGTAAATTATTTGACAAAGAAATTGATGATAACTGTGTGGGTCCGATAAAGAGGCCACTGGTGAAGACAATTTCGATATCTGAAATGAAAACTCCTTGTAGTCATGATGCTGGGGGTACTCAGAATTGGAAGACGAGTGTAAAGATGACATAGATACCTCTAAATACACTCCGATGGAAGAAACAGAACAATAGCAAATAGATGCATGGCGATTATTTTCCTGGTGTAAATTGGGCAAGAACATCCACTCAATATTTTGATAAGTATTTTACACGTGACGACCTGGTGAGAATTATTGTGATAAAAAGTACTATTTGAATAGGTACATTTTAAGAGTATTTCGACTCATCCGTAGAACAAAGATCTATGTGCAAGACTACGTGTTCTCAGGACATAGTACATTTCGGTCGTTCTTCTTCGCTGCGGATGTTAGATTGAGTGTTGTTCGATATTTCGAAACGAAATAAGATATATAAATTCTCTAAACACCTTACAGTAGGCCTTAGTTTGAATAACGAAATTATTCTCTTAACGTACTTATTCTTTTTTCGGTATATAATCACATCGGACTCTGTTCTTCGGATGTGTCGATTTGTAGACTTTGCTTGTAAGAAATGTCTATAATTGTTGGTCTTGATGTTGTATACACCAAATAAACAATACTTGTAACAAAATTATTGGTTTTGTATTTTGCTTAAATGTATATAAAAGCTCATCTAAATAAAATTGTGTTCCTACACAATTATGCGCCTGTTATAAATATTCGAAGTTAATACAATTGTGCAGGTCAAAATTTTCTAAGATAGTGGCCGGAAAATGGAACATTGATTTGTCATCTACAGATCAAATTCAGGTACAAGTTTTTGTTTTTGGAGAAATTCCAAATACTATTGGAACCAGTACGAAAAGGATAGTAAGAAAAAGCATATAAGTCCCTAATCTAGTATTGCATATCAAATGCAATGGTGACATTTTAATAGCAGTTACATGTAGAAATAAAAACATCAAAACGGTGAGAAATTCCTCACAATATAGAATTTTCAAAAAAGCCATGGTAGCATAATGGTTTGACATACCGCCTCCCAAGCAGAGGTCGTGGTTTCTAATCCGCATAGCACCTCTGAGTTTCTTGGAATTTATGTGCAAAATTTAATATGAAATCTACCATGAGCTTTTCGGTGAAGAAAAAACATCGTGATGAAACCTGTACATTGAAGAAGGTTCACCACTCTCACAAAATGTGTAAAGTCCCCAATCCGCATTAGATGGCCTAATGCACTATGGAAAATTTAGGTCACTTATAAATAAAAAATCTGTAACTTTTTGTTTTTAGAGATATACCTTTTCATTTTTTAAATAAATATTGGAAATAATGCCAGTGTTTTTATGCATATCAATTTTTGTTTAACCACCTGCAGTTGAGAGAAAAAAAATGTGCAACATCTTAAATCTCTCTCTGGTAAATACTATTCAATATTTATTATCAAAAAGTAGAAATGCTTAATTACGGTAATTCATATACCTAGTAAATTAAAAGTGATTATAAATTTTACTTTAAAATTATTTTAAATTGTTTACTTAAAAATTAATTTAATTTTATATTAATAAAAAAGAAAAATAAAAATACCAGACAAGAAAAATCGAAATTATACTTGTTGTTATTTAGGATATCTGTTTTAGACTCTTGCCTCTTCTATCATGGCCTATTATTATTATTACATAATATATTTTTCAGAAATCTGATGAATTGGTCTACTTTCAATAGGCGTAACATCTCCTCATCATCCTTTCGATTTTTGATGTTTTAAGTGGTTTATTAATGATTAATCCAAGCTCTTCTCGAAAACGTCTTTGCATCATATTTATCCTCTCTTCTTCTTCTTTTAAATGTTATGTCCCCATCTAAATAATCGATGACCTTTCCTCTCTTGTTTCATTAATTTATTTTTGTCATTCACACATTTTTTTAAACCAAAGGTTGTAATAAATATGCAAAATCATCTCTATACAGCAAATCCAATAGTATTAGTTCTTGTTTCAAACACTTGAAAGTAGTCATTTTCAAAAGAGTCTGAGAAGTATATTCAGTGACAAACGACTACTTGTATATTTACTACAATACGTAAATATGTCAATAAATTTATGAAGTGAGTGACAGAGCATTAGTGATAGTGTAGTGAATAATATTGATAAAACGTGGGGCGCACTATAAGTTTCCGGAATGAATAAGTAAAAAATACTATAAATGGTCAGAAATGAATTTATTTTTTCTCAAAATCTCACCTTTTCATACGAATGAACCAATTTTGAAAACATTTATGCTATTCCTCCGTGACAATCTCCGCAACATATTTTTCATACCCTTCGACAGCATCTTCAGGTGATGAAAATCGTTGACCGCGTGAATGGTTCTTAATTTTTGGAAATGAATAAAAGTCACAAGGTGCCAGTTCGGGACTGTACGGGGGATGGCGTATAAGGTCAACGTTGTTCACCTTCAAAAATTCATTTGTCTGTCTGGCCGTGTGAGAACTGGCATTGTCGTGGTGCAAGATGATACGGCGTTTACAGTTATTTTTACGGAGTTTGTCAATAACTTCCGGCAAAGAAATGGTCGGGTACCAATCACTGTTCACGGTAGTTGTGCTAAAGTGTCCAGTTTTGTTAAAAAAGAAGCAATAATCCGCTTAGAGGCACTTTCCATGCGCGCCACTTTGGTAGGTTTCATGAATATGAATACTAAATGATACCCATGAATACCAAAATAACGATAACTCTGAGGGCAATACTCAGAAAAGAACAGATTTAACATCTTTGTTTCTAAATTGGACCAAACCGGGAATCGCACCCGGTACCCCCTCATCAGGCGCCCATAGTACTAACCCTGTGCGACCAAAGAGCATAAGCACACCCCGTAATTAAAACCTAACCACACGCCACAGGCCGAGCCCTACCCCACCGTACGTGGGGTATAGAGCTCATAATGACACAATTGTTAAGCAAAATTATAGTTTCCTAGAGTATCTCGCACCTCATCCGTTTTGTCTGCATCGTTAATAGTTTATTTTTTATTGGGAATGAAATTATTTTATATATTCCTCGAAAAGCTCCATTGTCATGAAGTCTTGCTTTATGAAATTTAACTGTGTTTATTGTGCAATAAAAAAATTAGTGAAAGTGCTTTAACTGAGTTTAGGTTTATTTTTATGAAAAATTGGGATCTAAGTTGTCACTCAGATATTTCTGGTAATAACTATGAAGTCGAATATTGAATGAAGCCACCCTAATAATAATAACAACAGCTTAATATTATTAAGGTCTGTACAGACTTCTTCACTGCGATCAGCAGCAGTAGAGCATCTTGTGAAAGAGTTCGTCTAGGGAAGTACTGCCACCTTACCTATTTTTGCCGCCAAGCAGTAATGTGACCATTACTGCGTTCCGGTTTAGAAGGGTAAAGGTTGCTGGTGAAATTACAGGTACATGGGACTTGTCAACTTATGGCTCAGGGTGACGGGCGCAGTGGCAGTGCCCCTCAGATCTTTGCGATTTCAAGCTCTGAAGTGGCACTGCAATTATTATGGTCAGGCCTGTAGCTTATCACCAGGCGCACGACTTGTTCGTCCCGCCACTTGATATTATAAAAAAAAGAGAAAAAAGCAATTGACATGTGGTCAAAAGTAACTAACCTTTGTCATTCTTTTTGTGTTATTTGAAGCTGTATGATGTTTTGTATTATGACTATGTTACAGTTCTTTTTAGTCATCCAATAAATGAGTAATTAGAGATGTATCTATTTGTGAAACTTGTTCCTTATTTTTTTATTTTATTTTTGTTAGTAGATATCATGAATTTTTGAAAAATTGTTACTTGTGTGTGTGGTGTGTAGTTCACAATTCTGTAATTAAATCCATTTATTGTTAACATTTGAACGGACACGGTTATCATATTTTTTCCATTCCAAACATTATATTGTTCTGTTTCAGATACATAAAATAATTGGTTTTGCTCCGTCACTGTTACAAGTTGTAATGCTGAATGAGGTTCGCATACCACTACGCCAAGCTGGAGCCATTTACCTAAAGAACCTAATTACCTCTGGATGGCAGGAGAAGGACGCCGAGGAAGGCGAGCCCCTCCCCTTCAGCATACACGAGCAGGACCGGGCCATGGTCAGAGACATAATAGTGGATGCTATAGTTCAAGCTCCTGATATCATTAGAGTTCAGCTCTGCGTCTGCTTGAAAACAATCATCAAACATGACTTCCCTACGCGCTGGACGCAGATTGTCGACAAAATCCACATTTACCTGCAAAACCCAGACGCGAACAGCTGGATGGGTGCACTCCTTTGTTTGTATCAGTTGATCAAAAACTATGAGTACCAGCAGGCTGAAAAGCGCGTACCCCTTATAGAGGCTATGAACCTGCTTTTACCCATGATGTACAACCTTATTGTGAATCTCCAAACAGACCTTTCAGTGGAGTCCGTTTTGATACAGAAACAAATACTCAAATGCTTCTTTGGCCTAGTGAAGGTAAGTATTTCAAATGTAATTATATATGTTTTAGTACTGAATAAAAAGGCAATGATATCATCATCTTTTGTAGTACATTTTGCCACTGGATTTGATTACGAAAGAGGTGTTCACAAAGTGGATGGAGGTGCTACGGATAGTGATGGAGCAGCCAGTGCCAGAGCACACGCTGCAAGTAGATGAAGATGAGCGTTTGGAGCTGCCTTGGTGGAAATGCAAGAAGTGGGCAGTGCATACTTTGTACAGGGTTTTTGAGCGGTAAGAAACTCACTTGATTATATAAATTTAAAAAATATACTCCTTAGAGCCTGGCCGAGTGCACGCGTGACGTTTGACGCAGAGAAAATTGCAATTCGAAGATATATCATGGTGACATTTCACTCCATAGGGCGTGCTAGGTTTTAAGGTTTCGTAGTAGCCTTTTCCCATTGTAATAGATTAACACTCTCTTTTTTTCCTCCAGCTGTTCAGAAACTATGTGTGGATCATTAACTCCTTCCAATTCCGTCCCTCAGCATTCTTCAAAATTGTGAGTTTTTCACTTACCTCACACGCCTACTCCTTTAAATTGTATCCTGCGATCCTCCTACTGCTCTAGTCAAAGTTATTTAGCAAAGATCTTGTTGTAAGATGACAAAAATATTCGAAGAAAAAATATCTATTCATCTACATAATATATCTACTACTAAACTCAAAAAAAGCTCAAAGGGCCAATAAATAAATAATGGTATGTGCTGGAAATTGAAATTCTTAAGCATTTTGTTGACGACTAGTGACCACTATTGTAAATGTCCACTTCTGGAAATGACCAAATCTAGAAATCAAATAAATTATAGAAATTTTTAACTATTCTTATTTAAGGGACGAATTTTTTTATAATATCTAGCTATGTAGAGATAGATATATGGTTGAATAGTTAATAGGCTTTTGTTCTGTAACAGTGACATATTAATAAACAAACGCGAGCCTTCATGCCTGATCTATAAAATATTGCAGTGGTGACCTGGCAATTGAGGGTTGTTGATGCCACTTCTATTGCTAACTTTTCTTTTGGTGGTAAATTATATTTACTCTTATACATTTAGAAGTTTAGTTAATTTGTTACTCAAAAAAAGGTGATAAATAAATAAATTTGCCTATATTTTATTAAACGTTAACGCAATTGCATTGGTTATTCAAACGCACCGTTTAGGTGCATTGTGGACATAAGTCGCTGTGCGTTACCAGCTGATATCAAATAATCATCCTGTCATTAATAACCTTAAATCGTGATGGTATACAGCGTAAACGAGAAGGTCAACCATGATCACAAATTTTGATTTGACTAAACTGTTATGGCAAGGTCACCACAAATAAATAGCTACTATTTCAGAACACTACACCAATCCTATGTTAAAATAAGAATAAGCCCCAATAAATTTGTGAATAATAGCAAATTAGGCATACTCTGCAATGAATAATCGCCGAATACAAATAAGTTTGCGTAATTTTAACCGCATATCAAATTCTGTCATTTATATTGTGGTAAAAGTGCAAATTGATGCACACATTACAATACTCAGTGTTATTGCAGCTGAATTATTCAAAGCCTAATCGCGATGGCTGTTCTGTTTTCATAAAGTGGACATTTTCAAAAGTCGTTTTAAGAATGAATAATTTTTAATAGTATTAGAGGTAACTATATATATATACTGTACCATACTTTTTAAGAGTGTTGCCATAAAATGTACGATGTCTGTCTGTTTTTATTTATTTATTTTAATCTTCATTTTGATAAATTTAACTTTGATAGATACGGGAGCCCCGTGAATACGAGAGAAGAGTACGTACAATTTGCTGAATGGTACTTGACGACATTCACTGGGGGCATTTTGGAGGTGCTACTGAGGGTATTGGATCAGTACAGAAATAAGGTCTACGTGTCTCCAAGGGTGCTACAGCAAACTATCAGCTACATTGACCAGTGGTGAGCAATTAATAATAATTGTACTACGGCCCAGGATGACAGAGTAGCACGAGCGGCAAAAAAAATTTATGTAATAACACGAAACCCTCTTGATCGTCTTTCACCACATACGTACGTCATATTTATTTACCTTGCTCCTACTATTAAGCAATGGGTTTTTCTTACTCCGTTTTCTTTTTAATAAGTAGCGCATCAAATGTTTAAAGAGACATGCGAGACAGAGTTAACGCCGACAGAAAGTGGCAGATTGAAATTGTTGATAGTTGTAAAATACGTTTAATTGAGTTTATTTGAATGTCAGGGTTTTTTTTTAAATTACTCCACTAGTTTGTTATTATTATTAGTACAAAGATACAATTTGGAAGAAATCCTTCGATCCAGCGTCTTCTAGCAAACCTGCAGAAATAGATTTCTCAAAGATGGCGCTACGGCAAAAAAGTCGTTAAAAACCAAAAACAATCTGCAACAAACACATAGAAAAATTCGTAAGGTTCGCTGGTTCGTTCCGTAGCTTAGTTGGCATGGCGTCTGGCACGGTTTGGTAGAAAGCACTGGTTCGGTCTTTGTAATTAAATACTTTTAAGTTTGATTAGATTTTACCAAAAATAATCGACAGTATTTAGTTGCAACAATGAAAATGACGAATAAACTTTCTTTCGTATGGTCTAGTCGCGGCGCACACATTTAAAGCAAGCTTAGTTGAGACTTGAATGTTGTCGTTTGAAAAATATACCTCAGTAGGTTGCCTGTCACTAACCGTAATCAAACGGTAAAAGTAAGTTAAAATAAATTATAAAAAATATACCCAAGGGTCTATTCCCAGCAGTGGATTTGTTGAACTATGTGAAATCGGTTCTGACATTGAGGTCGGCTGGTTAATTGGGCGGCACTTAGCAGCATTAGGCGACGGCCTTTCATTAGGCATATAAAATTACCACTGACAGGTTAACCAACGGACGTGCAGCCATAGAGCTTATGTGAAAGTATAGTGAAACCCAAACTTTATTTTAAAAAAGTATTATTGGTATAGCATGGTATTTATTATTCTTTAGGATGACTGATTTTTAAATGGATATATTTATAATCATACTAGAACCTACGCTATGCACGACACGAGAAGCTACAAGTTCTGTTTTTCCCTCTTGAGTTATTAGTACCAGCACAGAAAAATACATGTTTCGATTTGCCGTACTTCTATTAGTCTGTCTTTTCGGGAGCACATTAATTCGACACTATTATAGTCGATACCCCAATCAAGGTGGCAAAGAGCTGCAAACTGCAACTCTTGTAAATGCAGATGGTTTATTTGGAAGCAATGAGCTCTGGCGTTACTAGTGACAAATAGCAGTGAAGATCGGTTGATTATCCGTGGTTGTTTCTTTGTAAATTTTTCATCACTAATAATGATAAAGTCGAAAGATGGTTTTCCACCGGCGAGGTGAGACGAGAATTGAAATCTCGCCGGCATATTTTCCAACATTTGCCATTCAACAAACTCGCGCTGTGGTTGTGGATAGTGAAGATTCCGTGCTGTTTAGTTCGTCTAGCGATAAATACCCGGCTGAAGTAACATGTCCCGTAAAGTATTATTATTAAATAATTAACGGAAGAAGTACCCCACAATCGCGCGATTGATATTAATATAGTCGTCACCAAATAAGAGGCCAAATTTGACTTATCATCGTGACGCGAATAGGGATGTGGACTAATCATATCGGTAATCACATTTTACAATTTTCACGAGAAATCGATTCAAAATTTGAAGAGTTTGTGATTGTTCAGATTATTTTTCGCTTCATTGTTGTTCAGGGGGCCTAAAAGGCTAAATCGTGCAATTCTGTTAAAAGCAATTCATTTGTATCTTTTCCTCTTATTTTTGTAAAATTGTCCTACATTACGATGAATTGTATTCAATTCTTTTAATTTTGATTTTATAATATTCATAAATGGTTTATTACGAGAATTTAGTGTAAATAAGTATGTTCATCGATAAAACAATTACATAAAAAGATTAAATTACCAAGAAACCAAGTATTTCATAAAGTTTCAATTATTCGGCTGGCAATAAGTTAGAAGTTGTCAGTGTCAACAACAAACAATCTCAAATAATGTTCATAATTTTTTTATATTTCTTCCGAGAAATCGAAGTGACTCGGTGAAATTCGGCGATTCATTGCTCATAACACTATTATTTAAAAAAAATTGCTTGAGGACGTAACTGTTTTCGAGACGTTTCGGGGTAACTCAAAATTGCATTTTATTTTGGAAGTCGTGCGAAAACAGTACTTCAAATATAATTTGTCATATTATATAATGTTTCAATAAAATTTATGTATTTTTTAAATTCAATAATGCTAACACACAGGGCGTACTATAAGTTTCCGGAACTGGCCACTTATATAAACAATATTTAAAAAGTAATTACAACATTCGAAAATGGAACTCTTTGGCTGTAGAATACAGTTTGTTTCATCGGACTGTCACTTGTTTTTACGTTGTGGCGTCATTTTAGAAATTGGTTGTCTACATCACTATGGATTTAACCTGTGAAAATTTTCGTAGTACGATTTTCTACGACTTTAAGTGTAATTCAACAGCTCAGCGGAGCTTCCCAGGTTTGCAGAATTCAAACGCGGTCGTGTGAATCTCAGTGACGAATTTCGTGATGGTCGCCCGTCCACTGCTGTGAACAACAAAAACATCGATGCTATGCTCTGTATGATCAAAACAGACGGGCATGTGACATGCCATGAGATTCATCTTTAGGCATAGGCATGACTCAATACAATCAATACTATACAAACATTTGGGTGTGAAAAAGCTGTGCTCTCGGTAGATCCTACACAATTTGACTGAAGCTCAAAAAACGGATCGCGTCACTTGGTGCAATGCCATGCTTATCAGATTCAACGTAGAGGCGTCAAATTTGGTGTGGGACATAGTAACAGGCGACGAAACATGGATTTATAGTTACGATCCCAAAACAAAGCAGCAATCGCGCGTACGGGTCTTTCGAGATAGCCGAAACCAACCAAAGTGGCGCGCGTACAAAGTGCCTCTAAGCGGATGATTGCTTCTTTTTTTAATAAAACTGGACACGTGGCTGCTGTTGCTTTGAAAAATCTTTGTACCGTGAAGAGAGACTGCTACACGACCATTTCTTTGTCGGAAGTTATTGACAACCTCCGTAAAAATAACCGTAAACGCTGTATCAACTTGCACCACGACAATGCCAGTTCTCACACGGCCAGACAGACAAACGAATTTTCGAAGGTGAACAACGTTGACCTTATGCACCATCCCGCGTACGGTCACGAACTGTCACCTTGTGCCTTATTCATTTCCAAAAATTAAGAACCAGTTACGCGGTTAATGATTTTCATCACCTGAAGAGGCTGTCGAAGAGTATGAAAAATATGTTTCCGAGATTGTCACGGAGGAGTGGTATAAATGTTTTCAAAATTGATTCATTCGTATGAAAACTGCATTAACGCTAGCGGAGAATATTTTAAGAAAGAATAGTATATTTTTGACCATCTATAGTATTTTTTTCTTATTCATTCCGGAAATTTATAGTGCGCCTCACGTAATTGTGTTTATTGTTTCGTTGATTCCAAGTTACATACTATCGGCTTCTTTAGCTGTCAAATTTGGTCTCTTAATTAGTGACGACTATAGTAATCGCGAGGTCGTGCGGGCACTCGCAATTAGCGCGAGAAATATTTTTTTCATGGCAGAGTATATTATTCTATTTAAGCAGCAATAAGGTTCAATATTACATTAACAAATATTTGTGTACTCTCGCCTCGCCAATCCTCGTCCATCCAGACCATTTCCGCATACAAATTCATATCCTTATCTCGCCTCGCCGGTGAAAAAGGACCTTAAAACTCCAATCTCTGTATCGATTAATTTACAGACTGCAAAGTTAAACGCGGTTTGCCCGTTGTAGTATTATTTATATTTTACCGTTAGAGCGAATAAGTCGGTATTGTGGGTATATATTCTGTATCTGCAAACGCCGATCGTCGGCATATTTTTAATTATCTGCTTCCCCATCCGACATTCGAATCAATCAAAGCAGAATATTCATCGAATAAATCGAATCGGTCGACAACTGAGTTATCGTAAGGTACTGAATCGAACCCCAGGCCCGTTACTGAACGTGGGGCGTGTAGTAGTGCTAATTAGCCAAATAAAACATCGAAAATTTGGCAGCGTGTAGAGCAGGTAACGGGCTGTTTTGTTTACCAAACAAAAATTTATTTTACACTTTTTCTTTCAAAATAGCCCAGATTTATTCGCATAAAGGACATACCTAAACATCTTTAAAAACTTTAAGTATTAATAAATGTTGTAATATTTCTATGCCTCTATCTTTCATCTCTTTGGTAATAAAATTATGTAAAATATTTTACTTCAATTAAAGATATTTCATTAATCACAAAATCCACAATTATCTATGTTTATTTTGAAAAAAGAAATGTTTTTTTCACGTATCCACATTGTGCACACATCCACGTAGTGAATTACGACGATGTCAAATTTGTCATAATAAAAAATGTCGTCATAACCCACATCCACGGCATCCACGGTATAGGGTATAGTTATGTCAAAGAATACCGCTAAATTTTTCCGTATTTCGCGATGGATTGATTTCAACAATAGCATACAACTCGTCATTGTTTTCTTTAACTCTCGTTGTCCACGAGTTGCATTTGCCACGTTAAAATTTCCATTGCGGCGAATAAGACGAACCAAAAAACGTTTTAGGTGTATCTGCTCAATAAACATCGATTATGTTTCGAGTCGTTTGCTGCGCGAATGCCAAGTTAATTAAAATGAAAACTTTAAAACACAGTCAAATTATTCGAAAAATGTTAAGAATCTTACATTAAAAAAATGTGTTAATTTGAAATGAGAGAGAGAGAGAGGGAGAGCCAATACCAATACCGTTGTCCCGCTTCGACGATTTATGACCAAGACTGCAGCGAGTATAAATTACTATAGTATGACAAACCGCCCAAGTGCGTAGAGGACCACACATGATGTAGGAATCCTGAAACACGATTTGCTACTTAAACAAGTTCCTACAGCTGAGGCTTTTGTTAAGTTTAAATTAATAAGTTTTATTTTTGTAACGTTATTCATAAAACTAAAAGCATTGTGTAAATTACACATAAATGTTGAAAAAAAAAAATGCCTAAAGAAACTTTAATATATTTTTTACTTCTGTAATGTTTTAATGGTTATCTTATTTTAAATAGACATCTAAATCTAAAAATAACACGCATATTGCATTAAAAGAGCTACAAATTTAGAAGGATTCGTTTTGTTCTCAAAAATGAGCACGTTAGTTTATTCCTACAGTCAAGAGCATGAATTGTGCACACCCATGCTGCACTGGCTCAGTTATCGTTGGCAAGACTAAAGTACGCTTTCGCGTTTCAACTACTGGTTTGATTAATTTAAATATTTATCGCAAATACTGTCAAAACATTAGAATTTTATTTTTTGTATCCAGTGTGACGCACGCGCATTCATGGAAGCTGTTGAAGCCGCATATGTTTGCAATTATTCAAGATGTGCTTTTCCCGCTTATGTCGTACTCCGACTCTGATGAGGAACTCTGGAACACAGATCCCCACGAGTACATTCGATTAAAGTATGGTAAGTCTTTCCATCACTGGTCTTCTTTTTTGAGAATTACTTACAAAAAACGACTGTCAAGGCATACACGAATACAAGATTATTTAAAAATATATATATAAATTTATTTAACGTATTAGGCTCCTTTTGCGTTTTATAAATGCTGCGTAGTTGTCTAAGAGGATCTTCGAGGCACATAGATGCAATTTGTAAGTACTCGACGCCCTAGTTCCTTGTATTATTCGCCTGAGATCAATGTGCATTGGCAGGTTGTATTCAGTTGCATACATTATGTTTTTAATATTAACATTTGCAAACTTTGTAACAAAAAAAAATTACATTTCTTTGTAGACATATTTGAAGACTTTGTATCACCCGTAACCGCCGCACAGACGCTACTCGTGTCGTGCTGTAAGAAGAGAAAAGACATGTTGGAGCGCACGATGCACCTCTGCATGCAAGTGTTAACTAGTAGAAATGGAGAATTTGGTCCGAAGCAAAGAGACGGAGCACTCCACATGGTGGGAACGCTCACTGGCCTACTTCTCAAGAAAAAGTTATACAAGGAGGAGATTGATTCTCTTCTGAGTCAACATGTCTTCCCGGAATTCAGCAGCCCTTACCGCTACATGCGGGCCAGAGCTTGCTGGGTACTACACTGCTTCGCCAACGTACGCTTTAAAAACGAAGTGCATCTGGTGGAGGCTGTAAGGCATGTGGTCAATGCCCTCCTAAATGACAACGAACTACCGGTGAAAGTAGAAGCTGCTATTGCCATACAGATGCTGTTAGTAGCACAGGAAAAAGTGCATAAAATTCTAGAACCGCAAGTAAAAGCAGTAACTACTGAATTACTCAAAGTCATTCGTGAAACTGAAAACGACAACATAGCCAGTGTACTTCAGAAAATTGTGCCACTGTACACTGAGCATTTGATGCCGATGGCATATGAAATTACTGATCATCTTGCAACGACGTTCAGTAAAGTTCTAGAAACTGACTCCGGCACAGATGAGAAGGCGATCACGGCCATGGGTATACTCAATACGATGGAGACGGTTTTGAACGTGATGGAAGACAATCCTGAAATTATAGCGCAACTCGAAAAGACTGTCTTGCGAGTTGTCGGACATATATTGCAGCACAACATTATGGGTGAGTGTTTTTATTTATGTAATTCCATTTCATTCAATTTGTAGACAGCTCTGTAAGCCTAATTTTTCTTTCTCAGAATACTATGAAGAGGCGATGTCGCTGCTGTGCAATCTGACGCAGAACTCAATATCGGAAGATATGTGGAAGGTTCTAGAACTATTATATCAAGTGTTCGAGAAGGAAGGCTTCGAATACTTTACGGACATGATGCCTGTATTACACAACTACATCACTGTTGACACAAACGCGTTTCTCTCGAACGAGAATCATATATTGGCTATCTTCAACATGGCTAAAGCGGTAAGTTTTCTGACGTAACTGCTAAACTATAGCCGAAGATATGAGTGATTTAACTGTTATAGTTAGTTTTTATACAGCAACTCTGCTACTCTGTTTTTTTTAGTTATTTAGCAATTTTTTATCAAAGAATCAACCGATCCAATATGCAATGAGAATAAGTTATAGTTTCCAAATGATATAGTGTATACTAGTTTTCTTAAGAAACACCATTGACAATGAAATTGATAGACGTGGAGTGCCATATTTATTGAACAAACTGCGTTGCGTGTCTGAGCGACAGTTGGCGTAACTAACGACTTTGCGACGTCGAAGCCATAACATAAAATGAAGCGCTGATCGTAAATTATTCATATGACACTGGACTGCTACAAAATAATTGTCAATACAGTCAATAACCCTTACTTAGATAAAACAGAAGTAATAGTACGTTCAGTGGATGATTGCTCCAAGAACTTGCTAATGCAGGCTTACTTATTATATTTTAAAGGCATATTGATACCTTGCTTTCTCAAACTCGTATCTTATAAAGAGTGATTATTTAGGAAATGGCAAAACTTTCTATTTATTTTGAATTACTTATCAAGGAAGTTAATTTGGGTGCATTACTTTAAAAATAGGTAAAAGCCAGTGTGTGAAAAGGAAATGTGAGGTGAAATCAGCCTGCAAAAATTTGTATCTACAATCCATTTTTTGCATTTCAGTAACTTTTGTGCTTTAAGATACGAGTTTGAGAAAGTAAGGCGAATGACAATTTTTATGTTCGCAAGCAATCCAAATTATGCTCATATCGGAACAAGAACGTGCTATAAACTTTATAAGAAGCGCAATCTCGAGCTGACCTATTGTTTCTTTGTTTGTATTTGATAAATATGACCTGTAAGTAATAATGACTTGTAAGCGTAGTAATGCAGCTGTTGCGACTGTTATTTGCATACGATTATGTTAACTTATAAATTGCTGCGCAGCGAATATAGTCATTAATTTTTATGCTAAAATCAATTTGGGAATTCCCTGTACTAAGAGTATCAACGACAACAAAATTCACTCTGGAGTATTTCCCAGAACGGCCAGACTAGAATCAAAATAGAAAAGTGCTTTTCCAAAATGGGTTCTACTGGAAATCGAACCCACAATGCCATCGTAAACCATTGTGCCACTGAAATCGTCAATAGTTCACCAAGTGGGCCCATTGCGGCTTTGGGGACGTCAAGGCTTTGAAGAGTTCATAAACATGCAATACAACTATTTGTTTTGATATCTGTCGGCAATCTTCGGATTACTGAATGTACCCGAATACAAATTTCTATGACTACTACTTTAGCCAAATTCGAAATGGAACGATTCAACTGCACAACCGCAGCATCGATCCGTGTTTTTAATTTATACTTAAATAAGTAATTACGTATTTATGCACACTCTAGTAGAAGTAGTAATTAAAACAATAGCAGATAATGTAATGCATTATTCTTATTGCAATTTATGACTAATTATTGAACAACTGTTTAAAATCCTGTTGTTATACTGCTAATTTGCTGTTGCGATTGCGTCATGCGTACAAGCAAGAATGCAATATCCAATAGCTGTGAGAAAGAAATTGTGATAATGAAATTATTGGACAGTGCTACGATTTGCAAATCTGCTCTTTCTTATTTTAAATTTTATTTTGAAATTGGTAACCCTGACCGACGCTAAGAGCCTTATCACACTGGCGACTTGCGAGCGATTTGTCGGCGACAGCACGCAGCGAAAACGCCGCGGCCGCTTGGCGATTTGAGTGTCATATTCCAGAACTCTACTCAATACTCAAGCACAAAGCACAACACGCAAAATAGGCGCCTTGACGTCGAGTTGCGGACACCAGCCCGTTGCACCAAGTACCAAGTACTCAAGCCAGGATTTGAGTATGGTTTAAAGCACTCGAAATCATACTCAAGTCCCTTCCATTAGGGTCGTATTTCCAGTGCTTATGTTTCCAGTGCAATCCTGACTTGAGCATTGAGTAGAGTTCTAGAATACGACTCTCAGAGCGTGCTCGCTGCGAATTTGCATCGCTTTCAAATCGCCAAGCGAGCACAGCATTGCCCCTGCAAGCTCGCGGCGGGCACGCCGCGCTGTCGCGTCGCTTTCAAATCCTTCGTAAATCGCCAGTGTGATAAGGCTCTTAAGATTGCCATTTTGCTTATCCGTTGACCAGCTATACATCACTGATCCTTTCATGTATTCGGTTGCTCTGCTATTTTATATATACTTAATATATACCCGTATAGATTATAATTTTCTAGGCCTATGTATGAAATATCATCACTCAATTCTCAGTACATTCTTGCATAATGATAATGTTATACAATATATATGCAAGGTGGTAGGTAACTAAATTAAGTTCATTATGAACGCTGTAAGAGCGCAGTAAATGACAAAAATCTGAATAAAGGCCCATTAACTGCTTCCGTGGCCGAACGGTTACCATGCCGTACTGCCACGCAGAGGTCCCAGGTTCGGTTCCCGGGCCGGGAGAAATAGTTGTATTATTTCTCTCGTGAGTTTGGGTGTAATTTGTGGTTGTCTATGTGTGTGACCATGGCACCCGTGACACAAAGTTTCCCTAGTGCGGGGCTATGTTGAGTGTGTGCGTTATTTATTTAGACGGAGAGAGTTTATCGCACGCTTCGTAACGAAAAATCGTACGCAATTATCGTAAGCAATAATCGCCATAAGATTATCGTATCATAATGTTTACATTCAGGCATGGACCAATAACTCAAGAGGACTGCTAATCGTCATACAAGATAGCGTAGCCGGGTATTTAGTACCTATTGGTACACTAGATGTCGCGACGATTACCAAATAGCTATTTTGTAACGTTATTTTACATCGACACATTGATTCTATCAAATCTGCTTCTAGTGATAACAAACACGTCAACTAGATGGCGCTATATTTTACCTCAAAATGGATATGCACCTGGAGTCGTATACAAATACATTGTAAAAAAAAACAATCGCAACTCACAACGTTTCCATCCTCTAAATAATAACTAGAACACTACTTTGTCTATTCTAATGCCATTTAGACATATTGATAGTTTAGCTTAAAATTATTCATATTTCAATGTTACTGGGTGTAAGAAGCGAGAAAAAACAATGGCTACGGTGATTTTAGGCTGAGAACACCGAACGTGCGAAATAATATTTTTTAATTTTATTTTTAATTCCAAGAAGTATGATATCGCAGATATTGCATTGGTCCCAAAGGGTCATATCGGAACGCCACGCAGTGGGCCCAAATTGATAATTCTTGGACATAGGAATAACTTGTGGAGTATCGAGCAAATTTTTTTTATGTGATATATAATAACATTCCTAACAACTTTTATTCTTGTATGATTTCTTGAAAAGTTGATAGATTCAGAGAAAAAAAAATTTGTGTATGGACAAATATACATTTTATTTTTTATCTCAAAATATACGAAAATCTAATGTGCGTGGGTTACTTACAGTATAGTTCCCATAATTTTCTATGTAGAAAAAAATAATCCGTCTGCATGTACTTGCGGCTT